TGAGCTACAGGTGCCAAGCCAGGAGCTGGTTCTTGAAGGGAAACTTCCTTATCATCATTGTCAGCATGCTAATCATCCTGCCCCTGGCCATTATGAAACCTTTGGGTAGGATGCTTCCTGGGTTGGTCATTGGATAGTTGGGTTAGAGAAGGGGAGCCAGACTGAAAAACTCCCCATTTTCAAGGGCTGTAAAATACCAGGAGAGGGCTTGTTTTATGTGGGTTTCAACAGATTAGTAGGAGTTTACTATGAAGGGTTGGCTGGTCTGGCTAGAAGTAAAAGTTTTTGTAAGGGTAATTGGGGTGAGGGGACATTAAAGGCCAAGCTAGGGGTTTGGAGTTTGCCATAGGAAGGGGGTCCCTGGATTTCTGAGGCTCTCATATTGCCCCTTATAGGCTACCTGGGGTACATCAGCGGTCTCTCTCTGACCTGCACGCTGTTTTTCCTCATTTCGGTGAGTCAGAGAGAAGATCATGAAAAAGTGGGGAGAGTTTGGGACTTTGAGATACAGCCTCTGCCATGACCTCTCTTCCCTGCTCCCTTACCCCCAGGTCATCTATCAGAAGTTCAAGCTTGGCTGTACTATAGGCCTTAATGAGACAATAGTGGAGAGTAACGCCCACCCAGGAGCCTTTAGCCAGGGGTTTAACAGCAGCTGTGAGGCCCAGATGTTCATAGTCGACTCCCAGGTGGGTATGCAGGTGTTCAGGAACTTGCACCACACTCAGACCCTCTGATCCTGTCACACAGTGCACCTTGCTCAGAAGGGAGCCAGGTATCGGGCATTGGGGGTCCCAAGTGTCTGATATGGAGGGCAATGGCAGGGCCAGAGGGATGTGGAGAAGGGAATGAACCCCTGTGGACTCTAATCCTGTGTCCTTGGGTCATTTCCCTAGATGTCCTACACAGTGCCTATTATTGCTTTTGCTTTCGTCTGCCTTCCTGAGGTGCTGCCCATCTACACGGAGCTCTACTGGTGAGTGGGCAGGCAGATGGGTACGTGTGATGGGCTAGCGTGGGCAAGAGGGTGATAGTCAAGAGGGTGATAGCCTGGCAATCCCTATGGCAGTCCTGGGACTGTAGTTTGATGGTGACTGAGTTGTACCAAGCAAAGGGTTTGGGGTGGCCAAGAGGTTTCAGGACACTCAGAGTGGTAACTGTTTATTGATTGGGACTTAAGTATTCTCCTGTTTTAACATACACCCCAAATGTGAATGGGCAGAGTTGGGAAGCTGATAACAGATGAACAGATGGAGGCATGGTGTGCATGGACAGGGGTGGGGAGGCAGGATGATAAGACGGGGAAATGTGCGGATGATTAGACAGAAGGACAGCATGGATGGTTGGATGGAAAGGAGGAGGCAGTAGGCCTTAATTGCTGCGGAGTGGCAGAGATGGGATTTGCTGTGGGGGTGAGGCTTTATGTAGGGCAACAGTGGTCTCATGGGGGGATATGGATCAACAGAGAGGAGAGGCTTGGCTAGTCACACAGGGGAGGTGGAGATGGGGATCCCGTGTACACCAGCTAAATGTCAGTCTGGGAGAATGGGATGCTGGAGGAGGGTGGGGGCTGGCTTTGAAGTGTCTGCCCCAAGTCCAGAGTTCTGAGCATGACAGTTCTATGGCCTCTGCACCTCAGGCCCTCCCAGCGCAGGATGCAGGCTGTGGCCAGTGTGTCCATCAGAGCCATGTTCTGCATGTATAGGCTCACAGTGACCTTTGGATACCTCGCCTTCTACAGTGAGTGGGGTTGGGGCCAGGGCTGCAGATAGGCCTAGGGACTGTGCAGAGGGCTGGGGCAGGAACCTTTGAGCTCTTTCCTCCATGACCTTGGATCTATCAGTTTCCAAAGAGAGGGGATGTCCATTATGCATGTGGGTTTTGTCACCATGAATGTGTGTGAGGGTTTCTGGGGCACTGGTCCTGGTGCTCCTGCCACTTCCTGCATCCCGCACTCCCTGTCCCATTGCCCAGGCACCGTGAAGGCGGAGGTGTTTCACATGTATAGCAAGCAGGAAAAGCTCATCCTCTGTGTGCACCTGGCCGTGCTGCTCACGGTGACCCTGACTGTGCCAGTTGTGCTATTCCCTGTGTGTGGGGAGAGGGCGGGCACATGGGATAGAGGGACATAGATGGATGGGTAGAGGATGTAGGCGTGGATATTCAGGTGGGGAATGAAGATGGGTGTGGGTGGGTGGATGGAGGAAGCAAGGATGGGCAGACAGGGAAGGCAGAGTTGTCATATGGACAGAGAAGGCAAAAATAGATGGTCAGACAGAAGGGAGGATGCAGATGGCAGGACAGAGAGGGTCGGGGGAATGGGCAGTCACCTGTAAGGAGGAGGCACAGATGGATGTCTAGACAGAAGAGGGAGGCAGGAATGATGAGTTGAGTACAGAGAGTAGACAGATGGTCAGCCAGATTGTAGAAATGAGGATGGACAAGAAAAGGGTGGAGGCTGAAGTGGTGAGATGCAGGAGGGCCAGGAGGATTGGACCAGGGGAGGGAGGGGTAATCAGTTGCAGAGAGGCAGGGGTCTTGGGATAGAAGGATAGGTAGGTGATCAGATGGGGAAAGTGGACGCAGTCAGAGGAGGGGGGCAAGGATTTGAGACAATGTATGGAGGCACAGACGGATGTTCAGACAGCAGGAGACATTGTTGTCAGAGGGTAGAGGCAGGAAGCTCACTGAGAAGATGGTGGCACAGATGAATGGTCAGGTGGGGAGATGCCATAGATAGCCAGAGGGAGGGGAAATCCTGGGATCTGGTATGAGGGAGGAGCTAAAGCTGATGATCATGTGGAAGGGGGACAGCATTTAGGTCCTAACTGCTGCCCCACCCTACTTTGGCCACAGATCTGCTGGGCTCCGCAACAGCTGCTTTTCCCAAGTAAGGCCTTCAGCTGGCTGCGGCACATGGTCATAGCCCTGATCCTGCTTGTTTTGGTCAATGTCCTTGTCATCTGTGTACCAACCATCCAGGATATCTTTGGGGTTGTTAGTCAGTATCTCCAACCCAAGTCCCATACCCCACCTGATATGGGCCTTGGGCCCAAGCTCAGGTTGACTCTTGACCCTCCTTCTTGTCTCCAGGGTCCACGTCAGCTCCCAGCCTCATCTTCATCCTTCCCAGCATCTTCTACCTCCGTATTGTACCCTCCAAGGTGAAGCCCCTCTTCTCCTGGCCCAAAATCCAGGTGAGCATTCCAGGGGAGAGGCTGGAGAAGAGGGGCATTCTAAGGATGGCTAGCAATGGAAGGAACTTGCTCAGAAGAGGGCTGGGGGAGGAAGGAGCGTGCAGAAGGAGTGGTGGTCGGGAAGAATGGAGGTGATGCCTTAGGAAGGGGCAGAGCATATGGAGCACCAGAGGGGTCTGGGAAGACAGGGAGTGCTGAGGAAGGGGCTGCCACAGGAGGAGCATTCTGTAGGCAGGTAGAAGGAGAACTATGAGGGAGAGATCTGGGAGTACTTTCAAGAAGGGGGCTGGAGAAGAGCATTTCTGATGGGTCCTGGGAAGATGGAGGGAGGATTCACAGGAAGGGGTTGGCTGTAAGGAAGGAGAGAGAGGGAGGAGCACAGAGGAGGATGGGGGTGGGTTGGGCTCTCTGGAGGGGGTGGAGGGCTTGAGGAACATTCTTAGGTGGAACTTAGACCAGCCCTAGTCTTCTCTCCCTCTTGCCTGCAGGCTCTGTGTTTTGGCATCCTGGGAGACCTCTTCATGGCAACCAGTCTAGGCTTTATGTTTGCAAACTGGGTCACAGGCCAGAGTGGTGTGTCTGGACACTAACCATGCCCTGCCTGGGTCCCCATGCACACGCACACGTGCCTATGGAGTTGGTGCCACTTTCTAGGGTCCCTCCTGCCTGGCGTGTGGAGGGGGCTGGTTCTCATTGGCATGGCTATCGGAGGTGGGTGGAGCAGAGGCTGCAGAGTGGTCTACTTCCCTCCTCCCCAGGGGTGCCAAGCTTGGATCATGGCCCTAATCATAACCCTAACCTCTGGGGGAGGAGGTGGTGGCCAGGTCCTGCGGGAGCCCTTGCCCAGCCCAGTCCTCTCTGCATCCTCCTGGGTGAAGCTGTTTGTCAGGATTACTCTCGGGCTAAGTGGTAGAATAAAGATGTTGAATTAAAGCTCTGGCCTGTCTTCTAACTTTTTGCAAAGAATTCTTGGGGAAGCCTGCCTGCCTGCAGAAGTCCAGGCTGGGGTAAACTGAGGCCCTAAGAAGAGGCCTGTGTTTGCTCTCATGTGTTCCCTCACTCAGTGAACATCTATTGAGCACCTGCTGGGTGTTAGGGACTGTTTTTGGTGCTGGGGATATAGCAGTGAATCAAGTGGACAAAAATGCCCATCAAAGAGTTGACAGTCTAGCATAGGAGTGGTCTGCTACCTGTTGGGGTTTTGGCCCTTGAACTAAGGATGGCTTTCATGTTTATAAATGATTGAAAAAAATCAAAAGAATATTTCGTGACACCTGAAAGTTAATATGAAATTTGCATTTCAGCACCTATAAATCAAGTTTTGTTGGAGCACAGTTAGGCTTGTGCATTTACGTATTGTTTATGGCTTCTTTGGATAGAGCTGAGGATTTGCAACAGAGACCATGTGGCCTGCAAAGCCATTTACTCTCTGGAGTTTTCTGAAAAAAGATAGCTAGCCGAAGAGAGGATAAGAGAGAAAACATTTCTGATAAAAATGAATGCTATGAAGAAATGAATGATGTGGGGAGTTGGGTGAGCAGACAGTCAAGAAGGCCTCACTGAGGAGGGGACAATGACTAGGCTCAAGGTTGCCTGGGGGGATCAAACCCCATGGTTATCTTGGCAAAGAGTGTTTCTAAGCAGAGGCAGCAAGTGCAAAGGCCCTGAGGTAGGAACAAGCCTGGCTGATCCAAGCTTCTTACTCAAGAGTAAGGAAAAGCTAGCAGGGGTATGCCAGTTCTGATTTCACCACAGCCTTGCCAAAGCCTGAGTTATGACACATGAATTTTTGCCACCTAATTGGTGAAAATGGTATTACAGAAACAGATTTGAATTTCATATGATTTTTAAGTGTCACAAAATATTTCGATTATTTTCCTAATCATGTAGAAATATGAAAGCCATTCTTAGTTCATGGGCCATATCAAAAACAATTTACATGAAAGAAGTCTTCAGATGCTTAAGGACATCTCTCTCTCCAGATTATTTTTATTCATATACAAGCCACTATTAATGTTACAAGCAGCTCCTTTTACTATTCTTTTATGTTATTTTATTTTCTTATTTTTTTTTTTGTTGTTGTCATGGTTTGGCTGGGGCTGGGTTTGAACTCACCACCCTGGATATATGGGGCTGACACCCTACTCACTGAGCCACAGGCACCACCTCATTTTACTATTCTTTATCCCTTTCTGTCACTAAACTTAAGTTCAACAAGCCTGCTTTTTTTTTTTTTTTAAGAGACAGAGTCTCACTTTATCACCCTTGGTAGAGTGCCATGGCATCATAGCTCATAGCAACCTCCAACTCCTGGGCTTAGGCGATTCTCTTGCCTCACCCTCCTGAGTAGCTGGGACTACAGGTGCCCACCACAATGCCTAGCTGTAATAAGCCTGCTTTTTATTTATTTATTAATTCTTTTATGAGACAGAGTCTCACTATGTCGCCCTCGGTTGAGTGCTATGGAGTCACAGCTCATAGTAACCTCAAACTCTTGGGCTAAAGGGTCGAGTGCTGTGGTGTCACAGCTCAAAGCGACCTCAAACTCTTGGGCTTAAGCAATTCTCTTCCCTCAGCTTCCCAAGTAGCTGGCACTACAAGTGCCTCACACAATGCCTGACTATTTTTTTGTTGTTGTTATAGATGTCAAAGTTTAGCTGGCCCAGGCTGGGTTTGAACCCGCCAGCCTCGGCGTATATGACTGGCGCTATAACCAATGTGCTATGGGCACCGAGCCAAGCCTGCTTTTTTGTTGTTATTGTTGCAATTGTTATTGTTGTTTAGCTGGCCCGGGCTGGGTTCAAACCCACCACCCTCAGTGCATGCGGTTGGCGCCGTAACCACTGTGCTATAGGCGCTGAGTCCCTGCTTTTTAATAATATGGGTAACTGGAAATTCCAGTGCTTGACCTTAAAAAGGCAAGTCTTCATATTTAACAAAAAGCACCACAAGGCGGGTGCAGTGGCTCACACCTGTAATCCTAGCGTTCTGGGAGGCTGAGGAAAGTGGATTGCCTGAGCTCAGGAGTTTGAGACTAGCCTGAGCAAGGGCGAGACCCTATCTCTACTAAAAGTAGTAAAGCTAGCCTGGTGTTGTGGTACAGATCTGAAGTCCCAGCTACGGGGGAGACTGAGGCAAGAAGATCGCTCAAGCCCAAGAGTTTGAGGTTGCTGAGAGCTATGACGCCACAGCATTCAAACCCAGGGCGACTAAGGCTCTGTCAAAAAAAAAAAAAAAAAAAAAAAAAGAGAAAGAAAGAAATAGATGATAGATCTCAGAATTTTCAGCATTCATATGATAGGAGTTCGAGACATAAGGAATAGAAAGACCGGAGAGAAAGTATTACTTGAAGAAATAACATTCTAAATAATTTTCTGAACTGAAGAAAGACATGGAATTTTTACACTGAAAAGAGCCACACCCAGTTTTGAGCACGATTAGTACATATGCGAGCACATACATGCACACACACATACACACACCCAGGAATAAAATTTCTAGAATGAAGATAAAATTGTGAAATGTCCCAGAGAGAATAGAGAGAAGAAAAAATACACTGGAGAAGTTCTTCAAAGAGCTGATGAGAAATCCCTGAACCTCGATTGTTACACCCAGCCAGCCTAATCCAGAATGAGACCAAAAATATTTCAAAAAAATTCATGACATACATACCCTTCCTGAAATAATTCTTAGGGTATAAAGTCCTATAAGAAGAAAAAAAGTAGACTTGAGAGGACGCAAGAGATTCCAAGGAGCAATAGTGAGGGGAACGATAGCAGAATTTATTGAAACGACTAAATGAGTTTTGGTTGTAAATTTAAAAAATTATAGTCTTGAACTAAAATTCTAGATAATATAAACATGGAAGTTGGGAGGAGAGATAGGAAAGAAAAGAGAAGTTCTTCTGTTCAAGGGACAGATACAGATGCTAATGAACGGCAGAATAATTAAATGCCCTAGCTTTTTGGAGTGCAAACTCTGGAGTCAGGTGGCTTGAGTTCTGGCTTCCCATCTTGCTAGCTGTGTGACCTTATGTAAGTCACATTACCTGTGTGTGTCCCAGTCTACTCAAGAGTAAACTGGGGATGACTACGCCAAATAATTCATGTGACTGCTACGATTAAATGGGTTAAAACATGTAAAGCACTTACAGCAGTACCTGGATGTGGTAAGTGCTGTATATAGTTATTGTTTTTAGCAATGACTTAAAATGACTATTAAAATGTAAAGGCAGATGAAGATGGTGAACTAGAAATAGCTGTTAGCTTCTCTCCCAAACCCCTCCTGCCACAGAAGAGGTAAAGAGTTAGTTGGACTTTGAGGCCAGGTGCTGGTTCATGCCTGTAATCTTAGCACTCTGGGAGGCCAAGGCTTGCTTGAGCTCAGGAGTTTCAGACCAGCCTGAGCAAGAGTGAGACTCCCATCTCTAAAAATAGCTGGCATTGTGGCGGTTACTTGTGGTCCCAGCTACTTGGGAGGCTGAGGCAAGAGGATCACTTGAGTTTGAGGTTGCCGTGAGCTATGACACTACAGCACTCTATTGAGGGCAACAAAGTGAGACTCTGTCTCAAATAAAAAATGAAAAACAAATAACAAACAACAAGGCAGAACCTATGGGTAGGGTGCCTCAGTGGGTAGGGCTCTGGCCCCATCTACTGAGGGTGGTGGGTTCAAATGTGGCCCTGGCAAAACTGCAACAAAAAAATAGCCAGGCATTGTGGCTGGTGCCTGGAGTCCCAGCTACTTGGGAGGCTGAGGCAGGAGAATTGCCTAAGCCCAGGAGTTGGAGGTTGCTGTGAGCTGTGACACCATAGCACTCTACCAAGGGTGATAAAGTGAGACTGTCTCAAAACAAACAAACAACCCCCCCCACAAAAACCCAAGAGGTAGCTGGACTTTCGAATAGTTCCCAACACTAAAATTCCTGATCCTTTTGTCCCTTCTAGGGGGATGAGATGGCCTAGAGTGGGAAAATGCCAGATGCCCCAAATGGAGGATCAGCTGAGGTGGAGCTTTCCCAATTGCGTTCTTTCCTCTCCTCCCATTTCTGGAAGGCTCATTACCTATCCTGTAAATACCACAAGGCAGAAACTTTGCAGAACTGGCCCAGTGATGGCCCAAGGTGGCATGGTACCACTAAGGTGTGGTAGGGTTGGAAATCTCATAGGAAAAGTACAGTTGAGGCTCTGTGCCTGTGGCTCAAGTGGCTAAGGTGCCAACCACATACACCTAAGGTGGCGAGTTCAAATCCAGCCCCGCCCCGCCAAAACAACAATGACGGCTGCAACCAAAAAATAGCTGGGCTTTGTGGTGGGTGCCTGTGGTCCCAGCTACTTGGGAGGCTGAGGCACGAGATTCACTTGAGCCCAGGAGTTGGAGGTTGTGTGAGCTGTGATGTCATGGCCCTCTACCCAGGGGGATAGCTTGAGGCTCTGTCTCAAAAAAAAAGAAAAAGTACAGTCAAAATGTCATAGAAAAAGTACAGTTGCATCGAGTCTGGCCAGTGACTTAAAATTCCTTTCCTACTCCTCCTTGTGGCCTCTGGGCTAGGCAATTACAAGTATCTCTCACTTCTACACCTCCAGACTCT